TGCACAAGATGCGCGGGGTGCGCGGCGGCGGGCGGCTCGGAGGGGTAGGGTGATGGAGTAAAACAGGGCGAGAATGTAAAAGCCACTTTTCTTTCCTCTCCTTCGATACTGAGAGGGGCCAGGTCCGCTCTCCTCAGGCTGCGGGAGGAATGCTTGGAGGCGGCGGAACAAAACAGGGAACAGCGCGCCTTTGTGCGACCGCCGCCGGCCATGGGAAAGCGCCTCCCGGGCCCCGCTCTGATCGCACTGCGACGCTCCCATCCGCCGGAATAAAATGTTACATATGGGCGAGGGTTTCTTTGACATTGCTTTATTCGGAGGGACCGGCCAGAGCATCCCACCTCACCGAGGCCGGTTCTCTGGAGTGCGGGCCTCCGCAGGTCGGGGCGCGCAGCGCAGCGGGCCCGTCACCGCCCCCGCAGCCGCAGCGGGTGACAGGACTGAAGGGGCCAGTGACACGTGTTGGCTGTCCCCCGGTCACAACATGAGGGTGCGGGGACACGCTCCTGCTCCCACCGCGTCCGGCGCTCTCCCAGTGGCTGCGCTGGCTGCGCTCCCTGGCCCTGCTCGGCCGCTCTGCCTCCCCGCGTCTCTCCGCGCTAGCTCAGGATGCGCTCTTGTCTGGTCTTCTACTGCCTAATCAGTTGAGATGGGGGATTTGCAATAGTAATGATGATGGTGATGAAGAAGGAGGACGACTACTACTACCACTACTACCACTACTACCACTACTACCACTACTACCACTACTACTACTAATCCTTTTTTAATTGTTCCATCCCTCTCCCGGCTGCGTGGACGTGGCTTTCGGGAGGCGGCCAGCAGAGGGATCTGCGCTTTGCGTTTCTCCCCCGGTCGCGGCTGCCGAGGCGGCGACGGCAACATCTGCTGGGCTGGAGGAGACAGGGCGATTGAGCAGACGCACAGATGTAAAAGTGACATCTGCTTGTGACAAAGGAGCGGGAATTAGATTAGGCGGGGAGGCCTTTCTGCGATTAGGAGGAAAAAAAAAAAAGAGAAAGAAAAAAAAAGGAAAGGAAAATACTATCTCTTCAGACTGTGTAAGCAGGGGAAGAGGATATGAAAGGCAGAAATGCTCGCTGGGCAGCTGCTAGGACAGCCGGGGCAGCACAAGGGTCCTGGGAGCTGAAATAGCCCTAAGAGAAGGCTTTGCTTTTCCCTCTAGAAGCAGAGATGTGGCCGGGTCAAAGCTTTCCATCATAATGAGTGAAGGACAGAAGGCAGCATGGTGCTGTGGAGACTCGAGCAGACCAGCAGAGATGCCCTCCTGCAGCTCCTGACCACGTTGCTGGCACTGGCTAGGCTGAGAGACCCAGATCTGGACACTTCTGTTCTTTGTTCACTGATGGAGGTTCATATACTCAAAAATAAGGGGGCAGGAGGCCTGACTGTTGCTTGCCTTATGAACTGTCCAATTTTGCTTCCATTAATTAAAAAAACAAGCAAGCAAACAGAACAAAACCACAACCACAAGTTTAAGTTTAGGCATGTTTGGTAAAGCAGAAACACACCCAGCAGAGACTTTGCCTGTACCAACCTGCACTGCTTAGAAAGAAGAGAAGTACTCCCCACATTTCAAATGATATAATCTGTTCTGCAAACAGTATAATGTTTCATAGTTATATTAATACTGTCACTGAATATCACTGAATATCATGTCTTTTTTTTTTTTTTTTTTTTTTAAACTCCAGCTTTACATCTGGGAATACCTGATGGTCTTGCAGAGCAGGAGAAATAGTAGGACTGAATTATATTTCAAATGGTAGCAAAAATGTGCTGTATTGCAAAAATAGCAAGTTACGGCATATGATGTACTGTGCACTGGGGCAGATTTAGTGATTCCTCTTATCGGGCCTTGCCTCTAAGCTTGATGAAGTTGGTCAAAGGCTATGTAACCTTTCAAAGACTAGACTAGGATTTCATCAGAGTGCAGAACAGGCCCTTCATGCT